GGCTTCCCGGCCGCCGCCCCCTCTGCTCCCCGACAGCACTCTGTATGATGGAAGTGTCCCTCGTTGAAGAAGTCTCCTAGCTAAAGCAAGAAAACATTCTGTAAATCTAGTATGTTATCCTTTGTAAACGGAACGCCAACCGTTAAATGACCGGGACGGTGCCGGCGCCGTGGAGAAAGCGAAGAGGTGATGTAAAGTACTTGCTTGAGACTGGTACGCTGGGAAGGCGAAACTAATGTGAATGTAAAATATACAGCGTTCTGTTGAGGAAATGACTTGAAAAAGCCAAACAAATGAAAAAAACAACAAATGGGACAGCCAGCAGAGAGCTTACTAGAAAAAGCATTTGCTAAAATGCAGAAATACTGAACGTTAAGCAAACTGCCTTTCTATAATAGCTGGTTATTTTGCACACTTTACCTTTATCATCTAAATTAAAACAGCCTTCAAGAAGTGATTAAGTTTCGAGTTGCACATTATTAAATGCCAAGCTTCAAAACGAGTCAATGCAAAATCAAATTCCAGGCTTCTAGTAAAGTCATAAATATATGGGTTGCACACAAATAAAACTTCTTAATGCCAGTCCCTCGCTTCATGAAGAGTGGTATGACTTTTCTTGCCCAAGTAATGGGCAGCAGAAGCAACATTTGTCTGTGTGTAGGTTGGTGGCTGTACTTGTGAACCTGTTGGTGTTCTTGTCAGGTAATCTCTACAGCAGGCACATCCAGATAGATGGAGAGATGTTGGCTATTCAAGTGCAAGATACTCCAGGAGTTCAGGTGAGCTAGATGCAGCCATGCAGTCCAACAAAGCAGCTCTAAATCTGTGTGTGTGTGCCCCTCTGTGCAGCATCTTGTTATGGTTCATTTCACAGTTTTGTGTTCTGTGTGTGAGAGATGGTAACTTGTGTTATAACCAGTGAAGCCACATGTGTTGTGTGTCTGTAGTATGCTGGTAGTAAAAGAAAATAATTTACCGTTTTGGTGAATCATTTGTATGCTGGAGGCCCACTACTTTTGAGTGGCTGATTTACTTAAGGGTCTTGTTCCTGTATATTATACAAAACCAGGAACAATTCTGTGCAAATAAGATACATGTAGACAAAAATGTCATGATCACTACCCAAACAAGTTTCATAAACGTGTGTGGATGATAGAAAGCGGACTTCTGTATTGTGACTGTGTTCATTAGTATGTCAGAAGTTAAAGTTTTGAATGTATAGACCTGAGTAATGTTGGATTGTTGCCTTTTTGAACTGGGCAACACTCCAGGTCTAAATGCTTCCAGCTCATATCTTTGCTTCCCCAGACTTACTGTCTAGCCAGTTAATTTCCCATTCTGTGGAACTACAAAGTCTTTCTCTGCATGCAGAACTACTCAGGTCAATTTTCCATTTGAGTATAGCAAACTCCAGTGTTAAGTTCCAGCTTTTTGCAGCTGAATCAACATATGCATTTATTCACCACACTCAGATTAAATTTGTACTTACAATGTAAAATGCAAATATATATGTCTGAAGCTGTAAAATGCTATTTGGCTTTACAGCCTCTTAAAGACAGGTTCCTTTAATCTTTCATGACTTCAGCTATCTAATTTGAGACTATTCATTTTTCAGATCCATGAACACAGTCTGCATTGTAATGAGCAGTTGAACAGATGTATTCGCTGGGCAGATGCCCTGGTGATTGTCTTCTCCATCACAGACTATAAGAGCTATGAACTACTCAGTCACCTTTACCATCATGTTCGACAGCTGCATCCAGGAAACGCAGTCCCTGTTGTCATCGTGGCAAACAAAGCCGATCTCTTGCATATCAAAGAGGTGGAGCCCCAGCATGGACTTCAGCTGGCCAACATGCTGGGCTGTACTTTCTACGAAGTATCTGTCAGTGAAAACTATAATGATGTTTTCAATGCCTTCCATCTCCTCTGTAAAGAAGTCAGCAAACAGCAAACAACCAGCACCCCTGAGAGAAGGAGAACCTCTCTTATTCCTCGGCCAAAATCACCCAACATGCAGGATCTGAAGAGAAGGTTTAAGCAAGCTTTGTCTGCCAAAGTGAGGACTGTCACTTCTGTTTGACAGCAGAGCCGTTGGTCTTCCCAACATTTAGCCTAAGATTGAAACCTGGGGTGTTTAACACTGGCACATCTATAGTCCAAGGCATTGTGAAAGAAGCATGGTTCACATAGCCATTTGCATGGCTGTAGAAGTGTTTAAGCAGTTGCTGAAAAAAGGAACAGTGGCAGATTGGAAAAGGAAAAAGACAAAAAACTCTTGAAATAGTTCTAGGATATGACCTGCAGAACAAGTATTTTCATTTGGAAAAGAAACTTTTCAGATAATGAAACAAGCTTTTAGTTTGTTTTTTCTCCAGTCAGATTTGGCTTTCATTTATGCAGAACAACTTCTTAACTGTAACTCAACTTGTATTTGAGCAGGGAAACACCCTGAACTGCAGTTCACTGTTCAGAAGTAACCACTTGAGACTTGTTTTCATATGGATGCAGGACAGCATGATGTATCTGTTTAATTTTATTGCACAGTAGAACCGTTTATTTCCCATGTATTTAAACAAATAAGCAAACATGAAATCGTTCTGTAAAAACAAGTGTAAAATAAGTGGACATGACTGGGTATCAAGACTATAAACAATGGTCCTTTTTTTTTTTTTTTACTGGCTACATTGTTGTTGACAACTTGACCAGACTCTCTGTATGCAAAACCATTGTCTGCAGGGTGTAAACATATCTAATTACACATAACTTGTGGGTTTTTTGCTGTCTGAAAAAAAATAGTGTCCAGACTAAATGATCCAACATGAAGCTTTTGAGGAATGAGTGTGGAGTTGGAGTGATAGTCCATTACATCTGCCAGCATAAGGCACATCTCTCTGTGCAACAGGCACAGAAGGAACATGGTGTGGCTGTGATTCAGCAGGGTGTGAAGCAGGGCTGGCTCCAGGCAATGAAGTGGGTGGTTTGTTCTGAGCTGTGCCAGTCCCTCTTCATCCTTAAACACATGTGGCAGACTTCTATGTATATATTTTTTTTTTACTTTGAGCCAATGAAGTTCACAGGCTTAAGGCCTTATACACATGCACTTTAAAAAGCCAGTGTGCTTTTGTTTAAACTGTAACTTATTTATTTTGTGTACAGTTACTCCTCCTAGGGAGTAGACTTTTCATTCTTACTGCCTGGTTCAATATTAAATTTTTGACTTGCATGTTTTTGTGTGTGTTCTTCATGGGTCAGAAACAACGGGCAATAATCAACCAGTGAAATGTTGAGACAAAGCAATAGTTTTCTCAAGGTACTTAACATACATGGCAGAAACAGTCAGAAGGCCTTTCCTGCCTATACTGTTGCTTTATTAGCATAAACCACAGGGGGGGAGCTTTCACAACTGCTTTACAACTTCCTTTAAAGAAATTCTTTTAGGAGAGGAACTGAATAAGGCAGAGATCTTTTAAATTAAAATGGGGTTCTTCATTTCTCCTTGTCAAAAAAACCCAGTGAGATGGGAATGGTGTTGGTCAAACTCTGGAAGAACATTAATTCTTTTGACTGCCTCTTAATTTTTATTTTTTTTTTTTAATGTATTGAGTTATATCACAATGAAGAACTTAATCTTCATGTTTAAAGTAGCTTTACTGGGGGAGGACATCCTGAGGAGGACGTTCGTGCTGGGACTAGGGTGACTGCTGCACAGGCTCACCTGGTTAACACACAGCAGGGAAACCCTGACAACGTCCTGCTGCTTATAAGCTTTTTTGACCATGAGCTACTAGCCAAGTGACTTAGAACCAGACTTGCAAACAAAACTGAGCTTCCCTTCCAGTCTGAGCTTATTAATAAATACTGGTTAGCTTTTTAATGTAGTAGTAAACCCATTTGCCAAGAGTGTCTTTGTGTTTTCTCCTACTACTACCTTCAGGTACCATTTAGTGTTGCATGCAGAGGGCTTGCATACACACTCCTTGCTGTGGTCCTGCACCTGCCCAAGCAAAGTCTCTTGTGCTGTTCCTGCTTACATGCAATTAGCAGGAGACCTCTCATCCCTTGGCCTTCACCCTGAACACAGGCTGTGTGTAGCTACTACAGCTACACCTAAGGAGCTACAAGTAAGGAGATACCTATTACACTAGGGCCACTGGAAGTATTCTGTTCCAGTCTTGTTCTAGAAGAATAGCAGGGTTTTGTGACCATTTTCTTTCAGCTCTTCGGCTACTGAGTATGAGATGGTGGCTGAGGCCCAGCATCCATTGCCACAGCTGTGTCCCCCCCCGGCTGAAAAGATTCCTCCAAAGTGTGTGCTTGGAAAATTAGTCTCTGCCTCAGTCAGATTTGCTACTTGGCTCACAGGAAGTGCAAGAGCACCAATGTCTGTTTAAACTCACACCTACCTTCTCAAGATCCTATACAGTATGTCTTTAGATGGCCAAGTCAGAGATCTGAGAGCACCTGATGAAAGATGGGTGAGGGAGAGAAGACCACAACTGCCAGCCTTCATCATGTCAGGAAAGCAGCAGCATCTTAAGAGGTCTAAGTACCTGAACTCACTGCCCAGCCAATGGCCACTGGACATAGGAGAGCCCTTCTGCTACCAGCAGGGTGTGGAAACCCCTCTAGGACACCTCCCAAGTCAGAAGGTGTAGCTTCTTAGGGGTAATCAAATAATGTAAAAGAAAAATGGGCCACAGAAATAGACAATCCTGGTATGTGTAGCCCTATTACTAAGAGAGAAGACAGATGAGGTTTGGCACTGTAAGAGCATTGCTTTATTGATTACAGAATTTACAAAACATCCATATTCTAAGATTAAACAGTACAGAAGGACAGGAAAGAAACCAAGAGACTGGCTATTTGGTTTCCAGTTGCTCTGTTCAAACTGTTTCTTGAGCTTTTAACATTGCAGTCTCATAATATTTCTCATTTTTGATAGCACAAAGTTCCATTCTATAGTCATTCTTATAAACCTCTCTTCCATAGAGGCAACATTGTCCATGCTTTATAATGGGTCCATTGTTTCCTTCTAGACACTCAAAAGTGCATTGAAATCAAAATGCACCCTTTTCTGAAGACCATTATAAACATTTAAGAGAACTTACGCTAGCTAGTGAACAAAGGTTAAAGAGCTACTTCCCATTTAATCTGTTCCCTTGGCATAATCAAAGAATGCTGTGATAGAGTGAATGTCATAATTTCACATTCTCATCTCAGTGTAAACTGTAGGTTTAGCATCCCTTGGATGAAGCAAGAGGATGCAGCTTTAGAGCTCCACCATTTTATGCTGCAATTTGGAAGTCTCGCTGATATAGTGATCCACACAATCACAATCTCTATTGGCTGCTGCTTTGTTATCACAGATTGTATCAAAGTTTTATAAGGAAAAAATTAAATAACTGAATTTAATAGCAGCTCTTTTATGATCATAAATTAAAATTAAAAGCTGTTCTCTAGTCAAGCTGCTCAGAAATCTACCTCAAGAAAGAATCTGTCGCTGTGGCCCCTTGAAAATGGGATCGTGCCTTTTTTTTTTTTCCTCTTTATTTTTTAAATGCATGTGAGGGGAGGATTCCAGGGTTATCATCAAACCATCACAGCCCATATGTCCTCTGTGTAAACCTACAGAGAAGTGTGCCATCAGAAAGAGTCTTTTATCCTGGGACTGTGGGTGGAGAAACTAGAGCAAGAATGGGAAGCTGAGAGAGAAACAGCCATGTAACCCAGCCCCTGAGTCTGGCTCTCTGCTTCTCTGCCTCTATCAGTCCTGCTGGGTGAGCATCACTGGACTGGGACCTGCTCTGCTGGCTAAATCAGGGCTGTGCTCTGTTGCCTTTCTGGGGTGAGGGACAAAGTAAGCACAAATGTGGTTAATGGTGTATAAGGCACACATGTTTTGCAAGGTAACGACAGAGAGGGTGGATTTTGCTAGTCTTGCACTCCCTCAGTAGCATTTCCCACCAGAAGCAACCCCAAAGAACCATCAGAAAAACTCAAAAGAAAAAAGTACTGCTTGGGGAGTGCAAATTCAGCATCATCTGGTCCCTCAGCTGCTCCTTTTCTAGGGTATTATTACATGCCATCATCCTTGCTGCACAGAGCAGGGCTGAGGTGATTCAGCACCATATGGTGTTACTGTTAAGGAATGTGTGGGGTTGCTGCTGGACAACTGGACCATTTTGAAGAGTTGCTTGTGAGCTGCACATGTTCTTGAAGCCAGATACCCAGCTGCTTCCCCGTTTCAGCTGGAGCCGTAACTGCAGCAGGAGATATGTCGTTTTTTTGAAAGGCTATTGGGAAGAGCGACAGACCAGGGATTTGATGTTTCCAACTGAAGCACTCACTCATCTTCTCCACAGATCCTCCCCCGTTAGATATCAGTGTCAGGCTGGAGACGGTCTGTGGCGAACAACAACTCAATAGCACTATGTGGTGTCAGGAGGGTGGAGGAGAGCACAATTACCTGAGAGAAGGAGGACAAGATACAGCAAGTCAGAATGAAGGGGACAGAGACACTGATCACAGTACTAATGAGCTGTGGATATGAACTGTTAGCTTCACCCAGCACTAGATGGGCTGTGTATTTCTGGTGTTTACTGACAGGGCAATACAACTTGCCCAGTGAAACTGTCTGCTTGCTAATAACTGTAGTTAAATCACTTTAAGGGGCATAATGACTGGTAGCATTGTACTCTTAATGAATGTGTGCTTTGACTCATTTCTACCCACATCTTACCCGGTGATTTGTTGTGACTGCCACTGTGTTTACTGCGAGGCTGATGAAGCAGGTACAGCACAGATTTGAGCAAGTTGAAGGTAGGGTGAGCACCACAGAAGTGCCGCGGGCCTGCAGCAGGGAGCCACAGTCCCTGTTCAGAAATGTCTTTTCAGACCAGGCACAGGCCATTCTGCATGTCAGGACCAAAGCTCAACCTCGAGCACTGCTGGGTGCTATTGCTTTTGTTTGGTCAAATTTTTAATCCAAGACAGGTCTGATCACTGAAATCGCTACTGCAGCCATGATACACATGCTGCTAGATGCATGTATCTGTTTTTCTTAAGTGAAAATTAGTACGCAGCTGTCTACAGTGAAGGCTCTTCTGCAGGGTAAAGCTGTCAGCAAGGAGCAAGGGCATATGCTCTTGCTGAGTGGAGCTAACTCAGGGTCAAAGTTGTAGTACACTGCTCTTACAAAGCCCTCCAGTAGTGTTTGTAGGGTCAGCACTGCAGGCAGGGACATAGGGGCAGATTTATCTTACTAACCCACTTGAACATGAATTTTCTTCCCCAGTGCAAATCCAATGAGAGGAAGCACAAGCATCAACAACGGAGTATGTCTGTGTGTTCATTTCCTGCAGCAGCTACTACTTGTGCTCTTCATCGCACGGCCTAAATGCATGATACTGCTGCATTTCAACTTTTTTTGTTGTTCTTTCTTTCATCTTTTCACTTCAAATAATGAAAGGAATCTGGAGTTAAGTTACTACAGATCCCTTCTGTACTGATGATAGTCTCTCTGTCACTTCTCCCCTTCCATTGTCCTCCCACACAATTTGTGGCAAACTGACACTGATTATCTCTTCTCCTTCCTATGGATAAAAAACTGTAATTTGCAGATGCCAAAGGCTGACACTGTCTTACTTATGTTGAGAATCAGACTATAGCACAGTATGTGCTCATCTTGTTATCACGCAGTTTAATTCTGAAAAACACGAGGGGACACATGACTGAAGTTTTTTGGACATACAAGCCAAACATCAACAATAACCACTGCCAGATGAAAGCAATTTCTTCTTGGAGTCCTACTACTGAACCCTGAGGGGATTTGGGCAACTAATAGCAAGCCCAGAGAGAAAAATGAGAGCTGCAACTTTTAACATCGGAGAAAGGATGTAGTGAAATATGGTGGGACTTCCCTCCTTTCCCCCCAGTATCTCTGAGGGCTCATTGAGGGGAATAAACGTCTGTTTTTTCCAGCATTTTTACAGAGAAGGGGGAAAATTGCCCAGAAAAGTAATGTCCATCTCAGACAGATCTCTTCAGGACAGTGTATCTCCTTTGCAGACCTTCTTCTTGTTCAGTACAAGGCGCCTGTCTTTGATGCTTCACCTGAAGAGCTACCCTTCCTGGTGGCAGCCGAGGTGGAGGATCCAGGGGCTCCCATCCCAACCCACTGAACTGTGACGGGCAGTTCCCCCTCAGCAGAGGGCAGGGAAGGATGCAGCTAACATTTGATGGTGCATCTGGAGGGTTTTGTCTATCTGCACGCCTCAGCCACAACCACACAGATGGCTGTGCATGTTGGGAGGGTGAAACATCCACTCATGCTCTTTCCCCTTTTTTTAACTCTTCTGATTAAAGTGGAAAAAAAAAAGGTAATTTCTTCCTTTGGAAATAGGATACTTCCCACTAGGTTGGGGAGCTATTCACCACCATCCAAACCCTGCATAGGAAACCCTGTATTCCTTTATGTTCCTCCATGAGAAATAAAATTGTCAATCATATTCAGATGCGGAGCAGTTCTGTGGATGGAAACTTGTGTCTCCTACTCCATATTTAAATGTCATTTACCTCAACTCCAAACAACTGCTGAAGTAATCAGTGGGTCCTGTCAGTTTTTGTGTAACTTTCCTCAATTCTTTTTTTTTTTTGCACCCACACATCTCTCCATTTCTCCAAGAAACAGTAAGTATAAATGCTTTGTTTGAGTGGAAGGGACTTGGGAGGCCAGCGTTCCCCTGATGCCTGAACCTGATTGCCTGAACACCACAAAAAAGCTCTGTTAAATGCTGGCTCGAGTTAGACAAATGCCTGGCTTTTTGAAAAGAGAATAATCCCAAACAGGTGGCACATATTCACAGCTATAGTGCAGAAATCCAGGTAAATCCAACAAACTCATAAACTTTTTTTATATGAGAGACTTGCACAACTGCTTCTTTTCTTCTTTCTCTTCCTCCTCCTGCCTTTTCCCCCCAAGTCCTTTCACCTCTAACACAGCACATTTGGACAAAGGGCAAGACACAGTAAAAGCTTAAAATTCTTTAGGAATCTGCCTCAGAGGGTGACCTGCTGCCAGGGTTAAGCCAAAGCAAAGCAACACCAGATCCCATGTCACCATTGTCAAACCTCAAGTCCTTCTAGAAAGCCAGTCAAAATTCTCCTTGCATAGTTCTCAGCCAACTCACGTGTTAACCCTGCTTGTCTTTCAGGGTGTACTAATACATTACAGGTGTGGATTAACAAGTCCATCAATGTGTCACAACTCAAGCCCCCTTCAAGATGGGAAAGAATTTTATTTGCTGTCTTGAGGAGATTAGCACTAGGCTAATTGGGGAGAAACGTGTTATCAGGTCAAAAAAACATTGCTAAGAGTGGCACTCCATCTTACAAAATACTGCTTGAGACTGTCTTGCAAAGACAACTAAAACGTGGAAAACACATGTCAAACCCAGAGGCTGCTCAGCCTTTGGTTGGCTCCATTTTGCTAACAATTTCTCACTAATCAAAACTGCATTCCATAGGAATTGAAAACAAGATGTTTACAAGCCACCCTGGAAACTAGACTTAAGTTTATGATGCAGCTGGTTACACGGTACTTCTCTGCAGTTTTCAGATTACCCTGAATATCTGCACTACTCAGCAGATACCTGATTGCTTTTGTGCATGCTCCTCCACAGTTAACAATAATTTTTAACATCTCATACGCCACCACAGCCCATCCGTCCTCCTCCTCTCACCCCACTCCATTCAGATGACAGCTGCTGTAGTGTAGTTCTGCTGCCAAAGGCAAAGACCACCTGCATGGATGCTACTGAAGCTTCACTGTGGGAGCCATCCTCCTTCCAGGAGTCTAACAGCACATCCAAGGGCTGCAGAGACTTGGGGCTTTCTCTACATCACCTGCTTCAGGCTACTTAAGGTATCTAGTGGTCAGGTATCTATCAGAGATAGCTGGCCTGGACCAGAAACAAGTACAGCTGTATCCAGGCTAATTTATCTTGCTCCTCAGCAATGCCAATTGACCTGTCTCTAGGATCACCACTGATATGTCACTAGATGGTACCCAGACCCTTGTCAGGCTCCTTCTAAGCATCCCTGCAGCAGGGAGCCTGTAGCCTCTTAGACAGCACATGTTTCTATTTATAAAGAATACCAAGAAATTAATCTTTTGAGATATGATGAAAGCTCCTTCAGAATAATGTCCGTCTGTTCTGAACTCTCCAACTTGAGTTTGAAATTTATTACTGACTAACATGTAATAAACAAACCCTTGGTGCCCAAACACTTGTTGCGTACAGATGTCTCACAGCAAAATCCTAAGACCTTTCCTGTACATGTGGCTCTGGCTTCATTAGATTTGGTAAGAGTTCTATAGGGAATATTATCTGACATTTACCTGGGTACCAGGTTTGCGTGTTGCTACCAGATCCTTCACCATTTTGACCTCAGAGATTGTCACTCCACCAACCATAAAGATGATCAGAAGAGGATGATCACCAGGGTGAGGGCGATTCACCTGTAAAATTAAGGAAAGCATCATTTGTAGTTGCCAACTCTAACTCCAAACCTATGGACTAGCAGTGATCAGCTCCCTGAAATTCTGAAGGAAGACTAATGAGGAAGCTCAGAAAGAAATATTCTTGCCATGGTTTCTGTAGCAGCTGAGAGGGAAATCACTGGGGATAATGCCCACTTAAAACTAATGAACTGTTTCCTGGGAAATTGAGTCTTCATGGCTTCCACTGAAACCTGGAGGAGTTTCTCTTGAGGTCTGAGGGCATCTCTCTGTATTCCTTCTTCATTTCTTTCCTCCCTTTCTCAGAGTGGGAAGAGAGTACTTGGGTGGATGCACAGTCTGGATACACGTACACATGAGGCTTTAAGGAATGAGGGGTAAATTACTACCCAGTAGAAGCAAGGAGTCCAGCCTAAACATGCTAGAATCCCTGCCTGAAGTCAGCAATGGAAAGAATTGTAAGTAATGTGTTCTCACCAGTCCAATGAATAATCCTTTACAATTCATCCAACGAAAATAAATTAGGTTCATATAGTTTCTAGCTTGTTTCACTTCAGAGTTTTTAATACCTCTACGACTGGGTTGTAACCAATATAGAGAAACTTTAGCTCAAACAAAATACTTGTTTCATTTTTCCCCAATTATAATTAAAAGGGTACAAATATTCCACTTCAGTTAAGACTTTATAAAACTGCATTTTAATTTTAAACTTGAAGGTGATGCTTTACATGTTTCCTCTTAACCACTTCTAGAAGTCTGATTACTTTGCTGTTTCCTAGCAAGCTGTTTCTTTCTTGATATAACACACTCCCCTGACAACGCCTTGCTCCAGTCTTTGGGAGTGATGTCAGTGGAGCCTGTGTAATTGCTTTTGTCACACCACCTTTGAGTATGAAACACTCCAAATGTTTGGTTCTGAAAAGTGACAGTGAGAACAGTTTAATTTGCTCCTTTTTAGACTCTCTGCCCCCTCTCCTTCCACAAGCATAGGTTTTTGACAGCATTCACCTGACAGAATGAAAGTGGTCATCAACCTGTGTTTGGGTGGAGTGCAGTTCCTTTGCTTTTGCCACCACAGCAGCTATCTTTGATCCCTGTGGCTCCAGCTCCTGAGGCTACAGCTCTTCTCTTCATTGTTGTGGCTGCCCTATATTTAGTCTTTGGGCAGTTTTTCATCCTGCGGCTCTGACAGGCTTTCTGACTGGCAACCTTCAGAGGAGACTCTTCCCTCTGAGGCAAGCACGGGGGGATGGTATGCTCTTTCTCCGGGCTAGCTGGAGTTTGATTACACAGGGATCCCCGTTCAATGCTGCTCCCCAGGCAGGGAGCTCTTCAGTTTTTGAAGTCAGTACAAAAAGCCTTAGATAAATGTATTAGTGAGCTGAATATCTGGGTACTGGGTGTTTATTCTCTGAATCACCTCCACTTTGCCAGCCAGCTTCACTGAGCTGATGGCATATATAGCATATATACTGCAATTCGGCAGGGTGTCCTGTAATTCTGGGGTGATACTGAGAAATTTTCCATTTGCACCAATAGACCAACTAAACGGATACACCAGAGCTTACAAAGACTTTCTTTATGCACTTTCCTACATCAGGCTACTCACTTCTTACTATCTGCATAAAACATAGTATCAACCTCAAATGAAAATAAGTTCATTGCTATTACAAAACCATGAGAAGTTTAAGTAAGACCTAAATATTTACTTAAAAAGCAGGTCAGATAGAGCCATTACTTGCTAAAGTATTAGAGGATTTCATGCCATAATTGCTGCAAGCAGTGACACAAGGTTAAAGAAGTAACTGCTCACAAAGATGAAGCTAAAAGTTGATAAAACAGCTATGGCACTTTAAGGTAATACAGGAATTACTGTTTTATTACTTTTCATGGATTTTTGCTTTTCTTCACCTTGTTGCCAAAGAACACAGCTCCATTCCATCTCATGAAGTTTCTGAATGACCCAAGAAAAATGGAAAGAGCTCGGATTCAGAAGCTTGCTATTGAATAAAGCCCCCCTTTCCTAATACTTTTCCTAGTGACAACAAACTCATCATAAACATGCATGCATAACATTGGACACACTGAAAGGACACCCAATATAAAAGCATTAATCAGAAAACACAAGCTTTTATGGCAATGCTAAAGTGAAAATGTCTTGACACATCATTTCCTTCAGTCAAAATAAACCTGGATCCAAACACATGGTGCCTATATAAAACTTATTATTTTTCAGAAGACTAAAGTTCAAACCACAAATTCCAGAAATGCATATTAAAAATACTATTAGGCATGCAAACTCTAAATTAAATTAAAATTGCAATGAAAAGGGTCTTGGAACTGTAATTTTGTTATGCTATGCACAAGTGTTTTGAAGGAGGACAATACTTTGGGTACGAAATATTTGGCTGTGTTAAGAATGCAAGTTTCTGCCAAGATTTTTTTGTTTGATAATACAATCACCCAAGGCTCTCTCTTTTGAAAGAACTGGCTGTGTGTAGCTAAACACAGCTCATTTCTGTGATACAGAAGAAGAACTGAAATGGACTGCAACAAAAGCAACTTATCTTCTGGGATCCTTCTAAAGTTTGGTTGTTTTGGGACCTCTGTTCTGAGGCCTTTGAATTGCATTTACTGTGAAATCTGAATTTTGCAAAAATCCTCAAGTGAAATTCAGTTCAAAATGCCGTGCATTAAAGAAATTGGGTCAGTTATCTCAGACAATTAGGAAGACTAACCAAGAAAAAAGAAAACCCATTACATCAAGTGAAGGAGCCTGAAGGAAGAAGGAGGAAAGGTTCCCTGAGCTAGCAGAGCATCCCAGATGGACATCAGCCTTCTCTCCAGCTCCGAGCCCACCACTAAGGGCTCTTTGCTGGTGCATATGTCTGTGTGAAGGAGAGGAAGAGGAGGACATGGGAAAGTGGGTTGACAGCAATGAATAAAACTCTAAAATTGAAGCAGAAAGGGGTCAGAGGACAGGTTTTTTCTCATGGCAGATTACAAAACACAGCCTTTTCCTCTGAGGAAGTTAGAGAAACAACTTCTACTGCTCCGTGAAAGCTATCTCTGCCAACCAGGACACCAGCACCAATGAATCTGGTATTTGTGACCAACCATAAACCAATGAATTTAGCTTTATACCTGGAAAAAGGAAAACACATTGATCACCAGAAACTAGATTGCCATGCAAGGCACTTGGTATCAGTGATATCAAGCTTAGATCATCGTAAACCATGAGTGTTCTAGAGCAGCTGTCAACAGAGGAATCCTTGTGGCAGGGAGGCCTTTTCTTTTCACTTCCCTAAGCTTCAAAACAAACACATCCACTAGAGAAACAACTTCTGGATGACAGATATCTTTAAAAGTCTGTCCTGTATGAACATGTCTGAGTCCATCACTTACCAAAGCATGTTTATGTGAGTTGGCATTTATATTCAGGCATTGAGGAAGAAATAAAAATATAAGGAAGTTCATGAAATAATTACAGTGCTAACAGTGCAGTAAGTGGAGAAGATCCTCTTGTGTGAGAAATACAGGCTGGTCAGAAGCTCATTCATGTAAGCAAGCACTTGCCAACAAGCCAGGCGACAAACTAAATGAGCAAGCACGGACACATTTGTGAGGTATATGATGATGCCTATGAAATATTCATCCTACATAAGTTTCACTTGCTCATCTGTTATATATTCCTTAGAGTAAGATCTTTTCTTACTAGTAGAGATGCAGGTGCTTACAGCTACATATTGCCATAATATACTTCATACTCTTAAAGAATACTCTTCAATGGAGAACTCAGGGTATGCAGTAAGACAGAGCTAAATGTACAGCATGCTAGCTACTCCACACTTCATCTCTTTAGCCATTTAATGAATGCTTAGCATAGGCGAATTTGTAGAGTAAGCTCTTGTAGAAAGACTGTCTTAAAACATTGTAGGAGCATTCACAAGGCAATTTCTAATAGACTTCCTTCATCCCCACTGCAAGTTGAACCTTATCAAATTATAGAAAAGTCACTGAATATGGAGCTCCTCTGCCAACCTTCCTCCCCTGTGAGACCTGACTGTTCATATGTACTTCTCTCCTGTCTCAAGGCTGCTCAGTGTCCTTAAAATCCTTTGATGAGGTGCCTTGTGGAATGCCTTTTAGAAATCCAGGTAGGTTATATGAATTGGCACTCACATATCAATTTGCTTGTTATGTGTCTCTGAAGAGCTCTGAAAGCTATGTGAGGTAAGAATTCCCTTTAGCAAAGCCATATTACCTCTTCCCAAACATATCATCCTCATTTAGGTGTCCAGTCTCCTCTTGTTTTGTTCAGCAGGCGCTACCCATCTGTACTGTACCTGCAATGTGGTGCCTCAAGCTATACCCAGCCCCTCTGCAAGGATTTAACTCTCCTAACCACTCCTTAAGTTGTGCTGAACAAGATCAACCCAAACACATAAAATCAACTACTGCCATATGATGCTGTGTCCTCAGAAAAATCTTACAGATGAGCTCAGGAAGCCTGGTTTACCTTCATGAACATGCTGAATCCAGTTTTAAGGAGATCGGTGAGGCCCGATGACATGTGCTCAATATCAACAGGATCAGGTCGATCAGGATTACAGATCTCTTCCACTACCTGTTTCAGCAGCGGTTTGTAAGAGGCCTGCACAAGAAGAACAACGCACTGTGAGTAAAGCTGTTTAGACCTGGGGCAAGTGCTTTTCTAAATGTTTCATTTCCAGGTTTATTTAAAGGTAATAAAAATAATTATCCTAGACAGGAAACCATTCAAAGAGTTAAAAAATTATTGAAGGGTCCGTGGTCTTTGTGACCTTGACTGCAAATGTGCACCAGCACAGCATCAAACTGAAAAGACAGGAACACAGCCACACATTTACTCCACCCCATGTGTATTGTATGAGTAAAGGGAGACACTCTACATAATACTTCCACCTGTGAAAAAACTTGAGAAAAATGGGCCAAACAACCCCACAATCCCATGTCAGACCTTTGGAGAATTTAGGGACCAGGAAAAGTGGAACATGTAAAGGTACAAACGCTCAGTATCCTGGAAGATAGACTTCCACAGGATCCACCCTTCGTTCTCTTCAGGGTCCACAAACCTGGGCTGAATATGAATTAGTAGTCTAGAAATTTCCATATTCCTTTACCAAGGTTTAAACCACTCTGCCATCCTGAAAAAGTTTCTAAGATTAAAAACTTTAGGGACTTGTGGAAAGATGTTCTTTAATGAAAATTTGACCTTACTTGGTTTACAGATGGAGGGTTTTTTGCTGCTTTCAGATTTGTCCAAACTGCAATGGAACCACAATTGTTTCAGGAAGCGCAGCAGTCTTAGAAAATTAGCAGCTTTCAAATGAGTACATTTGTTTTCCCTTGGGTCTAGCCCAGGTATACATCATCCCCTAGATTTCTTAAGAGAATTGGGTATAACATCATTTGTTTTGTAAAGATGATATCTGCAAGAGACATCATGCAAGATAAATGTAAAAATGGATGGAAAATAAAAAAGCAAGCTGCTTGACTTAAAACTAAAATTTTCTGGAGTAATGAAAGAAATGTTTTTCATCCAACACTATACAGTGAGAAACAAAACTTACAGTTTTTGAATACAATCCCGTCAATGAAGATTTATACAACTCATCTAGTTCTTCTCATAACACGTGCACAATTTTTAATTGAGCCAACAAAGCAAATTACAACAGACATGAGCTGCAGGATCTTTTAGAAGAGCATGCCAAGATCTGTGTCAAATCTAGTCACGCTATAAACAAGCGTTTGAAAATACACATGCAGACATTAAGTCCTATGTATAAAATCTGTTTAATATCTTCATAGATGAGGAACAGAAAGACATTAGGAATGTAATATTTTTGGAGTATAGATTAAATCACAGTTAAACAGAGAGGATTACTGCATGAAATTAAAGGAAAAATATTATCTGACTTCAGACAAAACTATATACTCATAAGATGTTAAAAATGTGCAATGATTTTGCATGTCTAAATCTTCAGCACAAAAATTCAGTGCTCTTCAAAATGATCCAGTTCAGCTACACAGACACTAAAAGGCAGATACTATGATCAACTTATCTTTTTTAGCTATGATAGTTTCAAATATTTTTAAAATCTTTTATGACTTGAAAATAATCTAATACATTTCTAGGGAGTTTTTAATTTATTTTTTACACAAACCCCAATAGCTGCATTGATTTTTAACTCGTATAATGAAACCTTTATCAACTTTAAATTTTGGTGGGGCATGAATTGTGTTTAAAACAGTTGTTAAAAACCTTGATGGCTATGGGGCATACCTCAGACAAGATTATAGGGAGAAAAGGAGAGAGAAAAAGAGAAAGAAAGAGAATGAGAAAAGGAGAGAGAAGGATGTAAGGAGGGAGGGAGGAATGGAGGAAGAAAAGGAGGGAGGGAGATACATACTTCAGACTAGTTAAAATATCAGGCAAAATAAATACTCTCCTCTTGCATGGTCGCTACACAAACTGGTTTGATAACCTGACAAAAATGTTCATCGTTGTATGTAAGACATATAAATGTCAGTGCTATAAAATGTCCTGCTAAAAGGCTATCCAATTCCCACTTACTTATCTATAGAAAACTTTGTTGAGTCTTAACAAGAAACGGATGCTTCCCAGCTCCTGACTATAAAGTGGAAAAGCAGCTATAGGCTAAACCCATTCCCATAGCACTAAGCTGGGCTGGGAATATATATGGACAGAGGAAGAACTAAACTGATCGCACGCAACCCATGCATTAACACCTGCCAGTCAAAAGAGGGATCCATTTGCAGAGATGTGTATGTATGACAGAAAAAACTGTACTGCCAGCTTATTTCTGCTACTCTAAATCTCCTAAACGGCCCTCAGCAGAAGGTTGGTCCTATTCAAGCAATTAAATCCATCACATAGGCAGATCAGGGGGCTGCAAGGCGTTCATACATCCCTTGCCATGTTCCAGCCCCTAGCCCTAAGTAAACAACCTGGGTTACATACAGAGAACATAGTGGTGCTAATCACACTTCCAGGAAACTTTCAGAGGGTATTTTCTTATCATTTGACTGCTCCCCCACTGAACTGCACTAAATGTTTAACAATTTTCCTCATTTCAGACACCAGACTGGTCCTAATAGCTAGGAGATTCCATTAACAGGTTTTCTCCACCTTAGTTTTCCAGTGCAATTTTGCAACATTCCCAATTTCTGTTCTTACAAAGCAATGATTAATTTGAACTACATCCCTTTGCTGGTCTACAGCATACTTATGAGTTTAGAATGATTTTTTTCTGGGTCAAGGCTAGAATCAAGTTTTACAGTCTCTCTCTAAATCACTGTGTGCGCTTTTCATTGTAAAACTCTATTTTTAACTGAAAAAATTAAAACACTTCAGGGGAGACAGAGAGAGAAAAAAACACTGTATATTAGTCCTGAAGATCTGTATCATATCCTGATGGTCTATATCATAGTTCATGTGTTCATATTTTAGAAACAAAAGCTGCATTTTTCACCTATTTACAAACAGGACTGCCTCTCCCACTTGTAGGGATGGGTGAGAAAATACACAGGAATATAGCAGCTGTATGGATGCAGGCATCCTGCTTTGCTATGCCATGAGAGGTTGTAGTCCAGAACTGTCTCGACCTACCCCTGCCTTTCACAGGTATCTATGTCACATCACAGTGCTGCAGAGCAAAACCCGAATTTATTCCTCAGTCAATTCTTTGTTGACATGGACATGGATATGCCTGACTTTGGATGAAGGGCTTGAGGAAGTTCTTGATGGTTAGGTCAATTATAAAATCTGTACTTAAAATATCTTCCAATATGGGCAGAACACATACAGGATTAGCACAACCACAAAATTAGTGCTGTAACTTTGACAGCATGGTAGAGAAATAACATACACAGGGGAAAGAAATATTCACTTGCCTGGTGGGTGTTGCTGCCTGGATTATGTATGGAATTAAATTGTTTCATGTGCATTCGAGCTCTTGCAATGTCCCTGAGGGACCGAAAGATACTGTCCACTGCATCTGTGGCTTTCTGAGATGTCAGGTTCAGTGGCGAATCACAGCCTAAAGAAATAAAGAAACATGGAACTGAGTGAGTGAAAAACTTTCAAGTGTTTTGATAGTAAGCAGTACAAAAAGGAGAACTGGGATGAAATTTTAAATTTTAAAGTTTTATCATGTTACATTCTAGAAACTCAGGGGCTTGTTAGATGGCATGTCCTCAGCATGGCACAAGCCTCTGTAGCTGAGCAGGAAGGCATAAATCCTAGCCAGCAAGCAAAGTGAACAGCACCTCTCTAACCACATTTGTAAACTAATTCATACAGCAATTTCATTGGCGCAGGGTATGTTTTCCTCTCCGCAGCAAACAGAAGATCCTGTGTTAGCAGGCCGTGAAGAAAAGCCCCATGTGGAAAGAAGCCAGCTGGATTGCTGGTCTCCTTGGGGCAAAACAGCCATGAAGAGGGGGACTGCTCTTCAGGCATCATACCCGGGTTCTGGCTGGCAGCCTGCTGACTCCAAATGCATTTCCTACCTTTGCACCAAGAAAAATGGGAAGCATCTGTACTAAATACAGCAGAAATGATAGCTACACATCGAAAGAGCTGTATTACCATAAAAAAGTCCTTATCCCTCAAAGTGACAGAGCTACTACTTTTAATGTATTCTTCCAAAGCACTTCTGCTAAGATATAATGCTTATCTTCTATTGAGGCCAAACTCCATTTAAAGGGTCATGCAAAAGGTTCCTCCATGCGACCAGGCAGTGCCTTGACAAGGAGAAATTCTTAGCCCTGGCTCCATCCTCCTCACCATGGGACCTATATTGTACACAAGCATTGAAAAAAATGCTTTCTCAGCTGACCTGCTGATAAGAATTGGACAAGTGAGAGATAACTGGGTCACCTGGTATTTGCATGGCCCTGTCAACACAGCTGTACACTTTAGACATCTCTTCTTGCTTGACTCCTCATCCCTGTAGGGGGAGATCCATCATACACACACACACACATATATATATATACACACACACACACACACACACACACTCACTCCTGCTTATTGCCAGTGTCTTCTCTGAAGGATGCTGCTGTAGTAGTTTGTGTGTCCATTCCCCAGTCCTGCAATTGGTCCTGAACTGACAAACCTCTATGCAGATTGCTGCTGAGAGAATGGGGTGTCCCTGCAGGTCTCAGCACCTGATAGCTTGCATCATGCTGCACCAGCGGAGCCCAGCACTAAAAACAGATATCTAAACTGTTGTGAAGGCACCTGGATTTTTGGGTGGGAGGACTCTGAACAAACTTTCATCTACAGCTGACAGAGGACAGAATCCTTGTGCACTAAAGCAGCAACAAAAAAGATGGTACCTTCAAAATTTACAGGGAATTTGTAATAGCTCATCTGGATCACCTTTCACATCTTTGCATTTTGTACAGCACAATATATATATAATATATACGCAAACACACACACTTACAGAGGTCTGAAACTGTTCCTACAAGATGGTGATTAGACACTGAGCTTTCATTTGTCTGAATATTATTTGTTGAAAGGCTCCAAGTTGGATCCCCAGCAGAACAGATAAAATGACCACTTCTGCAGGGCTACATCAAACCATGCTGCTGAGGATATGTGCCATTATAACCCACAAAGCAACGAAGTAAACATGAACTGGGCCTCAGTGACTCCCATGTTGTAATTCTAAGGCATATATTTTTGGATAGGGCTCTTGAAATTAATAATATTTATTTTTAAATGAGTGCAAAATAACTTACAGAAATATTTTTGTTGTTATGTATGTGCAAGATCTCCATGCTCGGATACTCAATTGACCAATCTGAGTTTTGCATTTGGCTGAGGAGCCTGTGTGCTGTCAGTAAAAGCCCTGAACACAAGCTCCACTCTGCAGCTCATTATCTCACTCCACTAGTGTTCGTGAAATCACAGAGATGGCTCCTGCGAGTGATCTTGTGCCGGTTTATGTGCAAGGGAATGGTGTCCAACAGCTGAAAAAAGTGAAACTGAACACCCCCTGGACAGATGAGGTCGATAAACACTCTGAATAACAAATCCTGGTTTATATTTATCACTAGCACAGGTAAAATATTCATCAATCTTGTATTGTCAGTGTGCTTTTATCCTGTCTGTGGGAAAACAGGAATGAGAAAATGGGCACTCCCTGTTAGCTTCCAACTCAGAGGCTGTGCATATTTAATAGTTAACATTTATAAAGCATTTTGCATATGAAAATTAAAATTAAGAGCCATATCTCATTATTGTATTACTCTATTTTTGTTTTCTCTGAGAGACAAGCTTTCTCTGTTTTAGCCATATTAGAGATAAGCATCTCCTAGCTAATGTAAGTAGTGATATTTTCTTTGTCCTCTCTTCAGTCCTTTATCAACAAAAGCCATGCTTTTGGCCAAGCCACCTCTGCAATGTTTCCTTTTGCTAGCAAATGCAAGTCCCTCCTGTTGAACAAGTTCAGGCAAAGCAAAAAACACATCAGGCTTGCTTTGCTTTGCACACTCTTCTTTTTTTCTTAATTGTTTATTTTCTTGGACCATTTAGAAGCCTTTTGTTTTGGCCCTACAGTTACTTTTGTCATGAAAAGAAATGATTGTTTCTTTCTCCTGTTGGCATCACTACTCTCTTTTTATTTTAACAAGAGGATTTTGACCAAGAAGTTTCAAACCAGCTTGTCTCTTCCCACTTCTGGAACTGCAGGGCAGTTTCTTTCCAGTGGACATGGTCTGGCTTTGTGGCTGGAAGCAAGATGCTCCTCACCTTGCCTGGCCCAGTACATCCCACTTTGCTTTTTGTTACTGGGTCAATCTTCTCTTGAGCAATTTCTCAGTGAAGCGCAGCCTCTGTAACATCACTCACTGCTCAAACTCATTGCCAGGGAAATGATCTCTAGAGCTCAGGCTTTCCTTTACAGCTTGTGGGCTGGAGGAGGCCACGAAATCATTCACCCTCACAATCTGTTTCACAGGCCACATGGCTTCATGACTGTCACCTGAACCAAGACAGGAGCCTTGGCATGTTCAACTGTGCTGCCTGGCAGACTGAAGCATATCTCAAGGAGCACTGGACCAGGGGCTCAATGTGCACTTCCAGTCTCTACAGCAGAGCAGGGTGCTGGACCCACTTTGGGACTCAGGGGGCCACTGGGAATGGAAACTGGTTTCACGCCAGTTTAAGGCTGACCAGATGGAGGGAAAAGAGGTGTATTTTCAAAGGTTTCTCTAAAATGTGGCTTCCTTGGGACTTCTGATCCAGAAATATCACATATCTGGGGAAGTCATGGCTATCTTTTTCCAGCCCGACATCCAGTTCTTATTTTTTAAAAGAAAATTTAAAAAAATATGTTTTATTTGCAATCCCTTATTGTTAAAATAAATAACAAAATCTCGGGTTCTCTGAAGGTTGCTGCCTACCTGTCACATTGCAGTAGGCTTAAAGAGAGGAGGAGGGTTTCTCTCCAGCCTGGAGAACAACAGAAGCTTGTGTTGTACAAATTGCCATTGGCTGCTACAAATCACCTCCCGTTCACACCTTCTCATTGAATGGGGCTGTGTGCGCATATGGAGAACAGAACACAATCTCTATTCTCTGCTCGATTCATGCTACCAAGAAATCTGCTCCTTTTACAACAATGAAGAGGTGGAATACATTAGCTGCTGCACAGCTCATGTGCTAATTAAAACTACTCTTCCTGTTACTGTTTTTTCACGGGAAGTTAAATTGCATTAGGAGAGGGTGCTGAATAAATTCCTTTGAATCCCAAGCCCTATTATATATGGGAAAAGGCATTTAAATGAAATTTGGGGATTTCCTGTCAGACTTTAAGAAGTCCAGTTGTGGAAAAAAGAAAATCACCGTTAAACAGCACAGGACTAAAGATTTTAAAGCACATATCTGAGATCTCGATGGTATCCCAAGAAGAACATAACCTAGCTCTGCAGTTAGCGGTGCCCAACCTCACTGATATTGCTTCTGTTCTGCTTCCATTTGCTTGTACTGAATTTGAGAAGAGAGAGAGACCACCAGGAGCTTCATTCAGCATCTAACAGGATGAGCCTACTGGTCCTTATTTTTTACTTACTTTTGAACTTTTTCATCAGAGAGAGCACATCTCCTCTTAAGCTACATAGCTGCATAACCATTAGCACCAGAAGTAATTTTCACAAGAAACTTGAAAAGAGAGAATAGAGATGCTCTTCTCTACCTTCTGGAGTGACCCAGAAACCAAACTGCACCAGTTTTTCTACTGATTTCTGAAGCTGGAAGGAATATACCCTAAGAAATGCACACAGACATCGTAAACCCACAAGATCTATAATTATAGAGTAGCATCTGATTGATTATTTCCTCCCTGAATGCAACAAATGAGAATTTCAGACCTGTGTATGAGAAAACTTTTCACTGTCTTTTGTCTCTTCTGGTAGGTGGTCCAGGTGTTATAAACAAACTTGTTCTTTCTCTAAAGCTGTATGTTAATTATTAGCACTTTGTGAAGGTCTTTGGTACTTCCAAGACATCACTGAAAGGATACGATTCTTACAAAGTTAAAAATTTAGGAACTCTGAAAGTTCACCAGTTTACTCTTTTTACTGGTATTAACTTAGGCTCTCTCTATAGCCCATTTACAGAAATAAACCAGTGTAAACCCTGCAAACCCTGGAATGGACCTGGCAGAGTAGCCAAGCCATTTTAGAAGCATGCACTGAAGCATGGGCTAAACCAGAAAACTAGTACTTCAAAAAAGAGAAAATCCAGCATCAGGATTGCATTATGCAAGCTATTTTCTAGATATGCAGAGATAATTTGATTGTCAGTGAAAGACTGAGGCAGAGATATAGTGTGTCTTGAGGGTCAGAGCTCAAAACACAGCACTGTGATATTAAACTAATGAAAATCTTCTATTTTTATACTTCAGATGATAGCATAGCAATGGGGGGTCTTCTTTTTCTAGCAGATAAATCTAAAAGCATACATATGTATACCCACAGCCATATGTTTGAAAATAGTTTTGAAATATTCATGCATTAAGATTGT